CTATGGTATCGAAAATTTGCGAGTGATCGACGCGTCGATCATGCCGGAAGTGACGAGCGGGAATACTAATGCGCCGACTATAATGATCGGAGAGAAGGGAGCGGATATAATTAAAGAGGATTGGGGCATAATGATATAAAGATGAGAAATTGAGATATCATAGAGATGCACGTGTTATTATTTTATATGTATATGTAATAATAAATATATTAATTATACATGTATATATACGATACGTGCAACAGTGTTATGTATATTTACGTTAACGTTTGTTGAATTATTTTTGTGAATCGAGGTTCATACGAATGGCAATTTTCAATTGCACTTGGATTTTATAGTATGATAAAATATACTTCAGTCCACATCCCAAAGCTTGTTCTTGCAACTTTTTGAAAAAAATTCGAGTCTGATTTCACGAGCATTCGAACAGGGGAGATCGTTTTTACGATCAATTAAAGTAATTAGTATGGAGATATCGATTTGAATGCATTAAAGGGATAAAATAAAATTCCCTGGGGAACTTAAACGTTATCACGGAAACAAAGTTTTGAAAATGTTTTCTGGAAGAAACTTTGATAAAATATTTAAATAAGCAATGGAGATTATTTCGAGTGGGACAAAATAAAAATAAATAAATAAATGTAAAGATTGTATTTGATTTATCCGAAAATCTTTTGAACAGAGTGAAGAGTATTTCTTAACACAAAAAAAATTAAATTACTTTGTTTGTGTGATGATTTGTTATATCGAATTATTATGATATTTTCAATATCGAAAAAACTCAATTATTATTATTATAATACATAATAATCTTAATTGAAATTCTCAATCAATTTTCATTTGAGAAACATATTTATAAAATTTTATTAATTATCTAACTGTAACAATCTGTCTGTTACGTAAATGAGAAAATTAAAATAGTTTTACTTAAGAAAAACGGACAAAACGAAAGTCTTTAAATATTTTTCATTTTCTTATGTAAAGAAAAAAACAACAATTATTCTACTTAAAATATTCATTAGTATAATGATTTTGATAAAAAAAAAAAATAATTGTGCATTAATTCAAGGACAACTCCTTATATACAATCATTTTCAAGAAACTTTCGATATTAATTTCGATAAAATTTATCATATCTTATTTTTTGTAATTAAACTTTTTTTTATTATCTTAAAAAATATAAGTTTTTAAACTTTAACTCAATAAAGATTTAAAAAAAATTTAAAAGATTTATTAACATTTTCTTTAAAATTTTTATTTTATTTTAAAAAATAGAGACCTTCAACTCTATCAGAAATTTCCATTGAAAAAAAGAAACAATTGATTGCTTATTTCAATTCAATTCAAATTATTATTATTATTACTATTATGCAATGAATATACTGAAAGTTATGAACGTTAAGAATGAAAGTTGATTATATTATTTATTTTTGATGAAATATTGGTTTTTCGCTCCTCTCGATAAGTACTATAATCCCTCAAAATCAAAATATTTCTTCGAAGAATCTTTTTATCGTCTTTTTTATACCAGAAGCATAAATTCAATAATTGTTTAACTTTGTACTTTAAATGTACAATATAAGAATGCAATTATTCAGATTAATACTCTTGAGATGGCAATATTTGTTTCAAAATCCACTTTAAAATATACTGACTATAAAATATTGTAAAATGTTTTATCATTGTGAAATAAAATATAAGTATAAAAAAAACAAAGTTTCTCCTAATTCTTAAACATTTACATTAGGGGAAGATATATATACTTATTTATCTACTTACAAGATAATTAGGGGAAAGGGAATGATATATACTTATCTACCTAAGAGATAATTTTGTTATATTCCACGTAAAAAATAAGAAGAGGGAGAAACTTATGTATATATATATATGTATATATAAAGTTTTGTCATGTTACATTCGTCAAACGTTATTTGAATATTGAAGAAAATAGTAGTAGGGAAGAATTTGTTTAAAGTATTTTTAGGTGATAATATAATTATTCTTAAAAGTCTTATTTTATTCGTAATATTTTAAACTAACATAGACATTTGAAAATTGTTGCCAAAATATTATTGTCAATAATAATAACAAAAGAACACATAAAATTTTAAATTAAAAAAAATTAAATTAAATTTAAAAGTTATTTTGAGACCGTATACTAGATACTTTCTTATATATAAAATTATTTAGATTTAAAAATTTTCATCTATTGTTCTCGTTATTATTATTTCCATTCAAATTTCTTAATCTAGATTAATTCTAGTTGAATAAATACACGGAAACATGGAATCGTGTGCGAGGGGAACTTGCTCCTCGGCGTTGCAATCGTCGCCAGCTTCCGTTTTCACTATGCTGATACAAACGTTAATCGCATCCCGTTGCGGATTAAGCAATACAGATAATTATCCCAGAAGTAACCAAGAGGAAATTTTAAATTCGGGAATGGAGTTCGATTTTGTAATAGTTGGTGGTGGAAGCGCGGGATCTATTTTGGCTCGCAGATTAACGGAAGTGGAGGATTGGAACGTTCTGTTAATCGAAAGAGGAGTGGATCCCTTACCTGAAACCGTACCACCTGGCCTGTTCAACAGCAACTTGGGTGGACCGCAAGATTACTATTACGCGGTATGTAGAATTAAATAATTCGAACGATTATCTTTTATACGAGATTTTCCAGCTTGCTTGGAAAATTATAAATATTGATTAAATTTTGTAATTGTTAATGCTTATTAAGAAACTTCTTATAATAAAAAATACATTAGATTGCGAGAAATTTTATTTTTGAAAAATTATGAATACAAAAAATATTACGTTCTTCTCATAGAGGTTTCCAAATTTTTAAATTAAAATTCCTACATCATTTATTCCGACACAGATTATATTTATTGATATGATTGTTTTTTTTAATCTAATTATATCGAATTCACTCTTCATTTTAACGCGATATAAAATGTTTTATAAATGAAATTACGAGCTGAAATTATTCTATTATATATCGTTCATATTAAAAAAAAAAAACTTTCTTTTTTATTGCTTTTAATTAAAAGATCGAGCCACAAGAAGGCATCTGTCTGAGTGTCAAAGACAAACGATGTAAATGGTCGAGGGGTAAAGCGCTTGGGGGAAGCTCGGTGATCAACGGAATGATACACATCTTCGGGAATCGAAGGGACTTCGACGGTTGGGCGAGTCAGGGAAATCCTGGATGGAACTTCGAGGAAGTACTTCCTTACTTCAGAAAGTCCATAAGCTGCTCGCCCGAATACATAGCCGAACACGGTGACAAGTATTGCGGGACGAACGGTCCCCTCAGAGTCAGATACTACAATTACACCGTGACAGACTTCGAGGATGTAATTCTGGAAGCGGCACAAGAAGCGGGCCATCCCATTCTCAAAGCTGTGAACGGTGATCGTTACCTGGGATTCGGAAGAGTGTTGGGCACCCTCGACGAAGGAAGGCGGCAAAGTTGCTCGAAAGCTTTCCTAAGTCCCGTCAGAAACAGGAAGAACTTGCACGTGATAACGTCGACCAGAGCGGACAAGATTCTGTTCGAGGGTAAACGCGCTGTCGGTGTTCAAATCACTTTGAGCAACAACAAATCGGTGGAAGTGAGAGCGACGAAGGAAGTGATCCTCTCGACCGGGACTATGGTCAGTCCGCAATTACTGATGCTCTCGGGTATCGGGCCGAAAGAGCACTTGAACAAATTGGGTATACCCGTTCTGGTCGATCTGCCCGTTGGAAAGAATCTTCAAGATCACGTGATATGGTTCGGCCTGTATTACTCTATCGTGAACGATTCGGTGACGTCCGCCCCCACTGAGAAGGATCAATTGGACTCCGCTTACGAGTATTTGGAATTCGATACCGGCCCGTTGACCACTCTCGCCAACGACCTCGTCGCGTTCATCAATCCTATCGATCCTAAATCCATATATCCGGAAGTGCAATTATTGTTCTCCCAAGTTCAACGCTACGACAAGAACGGGTTGAAAAGTCTGTTGCATTCTTACGACGTGAACGATGAAATTTTACAAATAATGACGGACGAGATCATGAAGAGTAGCTTGATCACCGCTTACGCCTCGTTAATGAGACCGTCGAGTCGAGGGGTGATCGAATTGCGTAGCGCCGATCCAGCCGAGCGGATAAAGATTTATTCGAATTATTTCACGGTGGCGGACGATTGGAAGAGATTGATGAAAGCTGTGCCAACGTTGAAGAGTTTATTGAACACGACGATCTTGCAGAAGTATAAAGCCAAGTTCCACACCTACGATATTCCCCAATGTCGTAACATAGCCGCCGATACAGAGGAATATTACGAATGCAACATTAGACACGCTACTGGCACGAATTATCACGCGTGTTGCTCGAACAGAATGGGGCCAGCCAATGATTCCAGAACGGTTGTGGACGCCAGATTGAGGGTCCACGGAGTGACGAATTTACGTGTTATCGATTCGTCGATCATGCCGAACATCACCAGCGCAAATATACATGCGCCTACCATGATGATCGCTGAGAAGGGTGCGGATTTGATTAAACAGGATTGGGGGATACGAGTATGAAGGATTCTATTACATACGATGTATTTCGTAATACATACATATATATATATATGTATATCTATATGTAGCTTCTCACGAAATATATAGCAAAGAAAATATTGATAATAATATCGTAAATCTATAACTAATGAAGGAATTATAATATCTGCAATGTAATTAAATAAATTACAATATAAAAATCGGCTGATCTTTCTCTCTGCAATTTTTTGTTTTTATACATGTATACATTACATGATTTTCTTATGCATAATTTATAATAAGACATTATTCATTAAAAAATTTCCGTGAAAATATTCTTCAAAAATCTAAAAGCATAAAGTTTAACAAATACAGATAAGATGGCAAAAAAAAAAGATTAAAATATCCATATAAATAATTTGTACAAAAAGTATGTTTTGAAAACGTCTCGATACCAGCTATAATAACATACAATAAAATTCTCACATATTTTCTTTCAAAAATATTATAAACTTTCTATAAGTTCTACACGGAAGAACTAATGTATCTCCTTTGAATAGAAATATTTTTTTTTTTAAAATATTATTTAAAAATACACCGTTTTTTTATGATATATTTTGTTTTGTCAAATTGCACTTAATTTACGTTCATTTAGCATACTTTTAACATATCTTTTTTTATCGATGAATAATACATCAAACTTTAAATAATATTGCACAATATTATATATTATTTATTATTATTTATTAAATTATTATTATTTATTAAATTTATATAATATTTTACATAATTAGATGTCGCTAAATATTTATATAATATAATATCAATTAAATTAATTATTGTTATTTTAATATATGTATAATTATTCATTATTATACGTATAATTATACGTATAAATGGCAACAATATTTTATGATAGTGAAACGAAGAATAAATTCATTCGTTATTTTTAAATATATTTTATTTTTTCAAAAGAAAACGTAAACAAAATATTTTTAAATACTCATTAGCGTAATTGATACCTATTCATTATTCATTTTAATTGATACTTTAGTATAGGTTTTGCATTTTGCAAATCATGGATAAGCATTTAAAGAAAATATTTATACACATTTCGAAGAGATATTTAAGTATTTTTTACATTGGAAAAATATTTAATTTGAAGTTCGATAAATGTTGATTTAAAAATATTTAAAGAATTTATTGATTTTTCCTTTAAAAATAAATTTTCAATCTTCAGAAAAAAGAATTAAATATTTAATAATAAGCAGTTATTCATTGGATAATTATTAACATTTATTAAAACAAAAAGAAAAATTGGCTTATCCGGGGATTTTTTTTATTTATATAAAATCAAGAAGATAATTCCATTGTATCGTATAACTTTAATACAAAAGGAGGGAGAAGTTTAAATACATATACATATATATATATATAACTTTGTCATATCATACACGATTAAATGCACTTTGAAGAAAGAAGTGCATATAAAGATCAATTTCATAAATTTCGAACAAAAAAATTTACGACAAATGTCACAGAACATACAGATAAGTTAAATAAGGTAAATTAAATTCTCTTAATATTAATTTCCTATAAAAATAGCCTCGTTTAAATATTAAAATTTTAATCTTATTTAAATTAGATATAAATATAGAATATTTTGCCAATAAAATATTTATCTGTAATAATAATATTCAAAAGACATATAAAAAATTTAAAATTAAATTACAACAATTTTTCATCTAAATTTACTTACACTTTTACCTTATCATTTTCAGATTATTAATTTCCCTTGAATAAACACACGGAAACATGGAATCGTGTATGAGGGGGACTTGCTCGTCGGCGTTGCAATCGTCGCCAGCCTCCGTTTTCGCCATGCTGATACAAACGTTAATCGCATCCCGTTGCGGATTGAGCAATACGGGCGAATACCCTAGAGATCGCAAAGACGAGATTTTAAATTCGAAAATGGAGTTCGATTTTGTGATAATTGGTGCTGGGAGCGCGGGATCCGTTTTGGCACGCAGGTTAACGGAAGTGGAGGATTGGAACGTTCTGTTAATCGAAAGAGGAGGGTACCCTTTACCCGAGACCGTATCACCTGGTCTATACTTCAGTATCTTAGGCGGATCGCAAGATTATCACTATGCGGTAAGTGGAATCGAATAATTTTAACGATCTTTCATTGGTCTTTAACACTCTCTCACTTTCTAGAAAGACAATTCGAATAAATTTGAATATTCCAATATAGAATATTTTTATTGCGAATAAGAGAATATATATCAATTATTTATTATTCGAATTCGAATAGTTTTTGCAAAGTAGATACACAAAAAATCATGCATATCTTTTTATTATACACGTTGTACTTGTATAACGAGAAATTTCTACGATCGATTAATTTTCAATCATTTCTATTCTACACGCGAAAGCTCGAGCCGCAAGAGGGTATCTGTCTGAGTATGAGGGACAAACGATGCAAATGGTCGAAAGGTAAAGGGGTTGGCGGAAGTTCGGACATCAACGGGATGATATACATCTTAGGGAATCGAAAGGACTTCGACGGTTGGGCGAGCGAGGGGAATCCCGGATGGAGTTACGAGGAAGTGCTCCCTCACTTCAGAAAATCGTCGAGCTGCTCGCCCGAATTCACGGCCGAACACGGTGACAAGTATTGCGGGACGGACGGTCCCCTTAGAATCAGGTACTTCAACTACACCGTGACAAACTTCGAGGATATCATTCTGGAAGCGGCTCGAGAAGCGGGCCATCCCATTCTCGATCCGGTGAACGGTGATCGTTACCTGGGATTCGGAAGAACGATGGGCAATCTCGACCAAGGGAAACGGGAAAGTTGCTCGAAAGCTTATCTAACTCCCGTCAAAGACAGGAAGAACTTGTACGTGATGACGTGGAGCAGAGTGGACAAGATTCTGTTCGAGGGCGAACGAGCTGTCGGCGTTCGAGTCACTTTGAGCAACAACGAAACGGTGGAGGTGAGAGCGACGAAGGAAGTGATTCTGTCGGCGGGAAGTATCGTCAGTCCTCAGATACTGATGCTCTCGGGTATCGGGCCGAAAGAGCACTTGAAGGAATTGGGTATACCCGTTCTGGTCGATCTGCCCGTTGGAAAGAATCTTCAAGATCACGTGATAT